AAAAAAAAAAAAAAAAAAAAAATGTACACATCGTTCCTAAAAAATTAGTAAAAATAACAATTTAAAAACAAAAATTAATCTTTAAAATCCTATATACAAATCCTTCTTAATAAAGAGAATAAAAACAATAAATTAGCTGGGAAACCCCTTCTGAAATAAATGAGTTTTAAGAGCCTTCTTGAAAGCATTAACTGAAGATATATTTGAATCATTGAATCATTGTTGACAGAATCGTAAACACTGTAGGGCACAGGCTTCTCATTTCTGCCAGTATCTCTTCAAAAGTAAAACTGGACAAACCAGGATATCCCCTTTCTATTAGCACTGATTTGGTCTCCCTTCTTGCCACCTGAACAAGTTCTCTGTCAATCTTGGAGAGGAACATGCTCATCATTCCATCCTCTGTAATACAGCTGCCTTCAAGCTGAAAATAGCGGTTTGGAAATATTATTTTACAACTTTAAAAAAAAAAAATTTTACATGACTTCTCAGCACACATGATTTAAAAGCTTTATGATTAAGTTATTTAAATGATCAAATAATATTTACGTATCAAAATATTGCAGATGTTCCCTGTCAGGCAATGAATGAGATTCATGGTTCATAATAAAAAAAAATGCCTACATGTAAATTTATTCGTCAGTCAACTAGAGTAATTATTTCAACAAGGTTTCATAAAGGTTTTCTAACAAATTGCAAAAAGATCTCGCACTAGGGCTGACTAAGTAGCTGCAGATGTAAACAACTGACGTGTTTTCTTGAAGCCTCAAGAGGCGGGCAAAACAGAAGTATGATCATACCTGACTTTCAGATGTGCTTTCTTGTCGATCTGAGGTTGCTAATGAATTACATCGGTCATTCTGTGAAGAACAAAAAAAAATAAACAAATGGGGATATGAATTCTCCACCAAAATGAAAAAAGAATCATGCAGTGTGATAATCAAATCTCCGCTTTTTATTACACAATCGCAAAAGGGACTCCGCATGAGAAATGTACGTGAAAAAGTTCAGATGCAATGGACAGAAGAATTGCCTGTTAAAAAAGAAATATTAAAGAAATAAAATTAAAGAAATAGCTCCACTCACCTTATCACCTTGCGGCCCGACGTTAAGTCCACGGCGACTGCTTCAGACAGGCTCATTTACTTTTGAGCTTTTCAGTGTTCGCGGTACAGATGGAGAGACTTTGATGCATCTCTTGACTCTTTCAAACGACTGTTGAGTCTCCGTTATGATATTCTTGAAAGCTTTAAAATTGTTAACTCGTCTTTCACACGGTCTATATACTAAATGTGGCAACAGTTCGTTTTGTGACAAAGAACTGCCATAAAGTTCTTCCACAGATGCCAGCAGCGCTCGATTATTCTTCGCAAACAAATTCTTTGAGTGTGAGACATCACCTACAGATTTACAAAGCCTACAGCAACTCAAATTTACGTGACTAGAAGGTGCATAAACCTTTTTAGGTGTTTGAGTACTCAACATTTTGACCTCGTGCGGCCAAATTCAGTCGAATGAGTTTTGTTACTGTGACACAAACCAGATATGTTTTTTTAATTATGTAGTCTTCGTTGCGGGATAGGCTAAGTATCGACAAACTTCTGACTTTATGGCCCCTCCCTCCATGTCGTCTTTTGTAATCTCCCAGATTCTGGGAGAAACGTGACTAGCGTTTTCCAGGGTCTCTCTCTCTCTCGCTCCAGGGGGCGGGTAGGAGAGAACCCTGGGAACGAGGTTGTTCTTGAAGTAATGTTTAATCAACAGACTTTGTCCTGTCAAATTATTTCCACCCCCTAGAATTACAGTTATAGTAAGTTGTTTTTGTTTTTATTTAGTTCCTGTCAATACGTGTTCTTTTTGTAAGGTAAGAAAAGGGTGAAATAATACCGATGTGGTGGGATCTTCAAAGAGGCGTAAATAAAGGGAGCCTTGTTAAGCAACTTTGTGGAGTTCCCTTGCTGTAAACCCATGTGTCGGGGGATTAGCAGGCACCAGATTATTTCGAGCAGATTTGTCAGTGACCAAAACTTGAAATGGTGGATTGCTATGACCATGAGATTGTCTAGGTAATATTATAAAGAAAATCTGATGAATACAGGTAATGACTGCAAAGTTTCCATGTATATTACTATATACACATTGTAGTTCTTAACTATCCAAAGAAATTGACCTTTTATCTACAACAGCATTAGCATTAGCATAAACTACTTGATGTAATTAAGTACTTTGAATAGGAGACTATTATTTCAAAGGAAAATAAAAACTTTGAAAGTAGACATGTATTGCATTTTCCCAACAGGTTTTGAATATTCAGCGATTGTCTTAATAAAATGTCTTTGACATAATGTTATTAAAAGGTGTAGAAGAAGCTAAAAGTTAACTGCGGAAAATTTAGTTGGATAAAGACAACTTACTACAAACTTAAAAGTACACTGGAAACAATATGACATATTTTAACAAGTGATTTTTATACTCAGATTTTGTTCAGTAACAACCTGGCCTGGCTTCAAAATGGCCATTTCACATTTTAACCCCAAAATACCCCACTGCGACAAACATTAAAATAGTGGAGGTGTAAGAATTTGGAAACAAACAAGCAAGAAGGAAAAAATATTATACCATTATATTATTACCCCATACATATATATAAATATACCACCAACCTGGCTTTGGCTCTGAAGTGGGGAAAGGCACTGGTCAGTTTTTTCTGTGCTTCTGGTCCCTGTGCTCCACGTGGTAATGAAATCTCAACAATACGACCATCCTGTGGAAGTGCATCTCAGAATTTCCGCCGAGGAATGATGTCAACAGCAGGGTCCAGCAGGACAACATTGAAGCTGTACATGTTTTGAGGTTGGGTTGACCTGCTATGGCCAGGGCTGCTTTCATCTTCCGACAGAACTGAGTGGACATCACCTGCCCTTTGCAACCCTGAAGAAATACCTGAAAAACTTTTCCTAACCCGATGTGCTAAGTTTCTTGTGAAAGACCGGACCTTTTTGAATAAATGACAAGACATTTAATTTCAAACTATTATATATGTGGTGGTATACTTTTGTCCTTGGTTTAAGTTTTATTATCTTTTGTTTTTGGGTATGGTAATGTACGATAATGATTTTGAAACAAAAGAAAAGAAATTTAAACCACAAGATATATACGCGTTTTTAGGCCATTCACCCTAAAGAAGGCAAGTATATGTGGTCTGAATATAGGTGAAAAAAAATCACACTCCTCAATTGTGTTGAATATGTCTTTACCACAGTATGTTCTCAATTTATGCCTGCAATACGTTACACACATGTTATGAAGGAGGATATATTCTCCCGGTTACGAAGCTGATCGAATTCTCCTGCTAACTTTCAGTAGTCTATGACTGTTGTTTATTCATCATGATCAGACTTTCTTTCAAAACATTCTCCTATGTTCTTCATACATGTATAATATTACTAATATTGTTTCTAGAATTCATTAAAATTATGAGAACCCTGCTAAGCTTTACTGAACCTGTGAAAGAAAATTATGCATGATTGCACTGGTGGACATTGGTCTAATTACTTAATTAGAATTGTGGCTGAAGCTGAAAAGGGGCGATTATATTGGAAGGGGAGACTGATGAAAATCAACATGAAAACTAGAAAAGGCCTCATAAAGCCAGTGAAACCACATGTCACCCAAAGATTAGTGTGTTAGAAGGCCTGAGGGCTTGAACAGTAGACACTTCTTTAGAATTACGACAACTTTAACTTCTTCTGATTAAATTTATTACCACAAAAAGGTAAGACGTGAACCTCACTGCACTTACCTCACTGGTAGATGTTTCCTCCACAGGCTGGTCCAACCTGACATCATATTCTGACTGCAAAGGATAAATTTTACAGCTCAAAATTAAACTTTGGTTAATGCATTCAGCCTTGGTTGATTTTTAATTTCCTGTCTCCTCATCTTGATTATTCATGAATTAGGGCTGGGAGACAAAGGAAATTGACGATCGGCAACCACTCTTCTGCATACACAAATCATACACAATAGAGTTTCCACTTACAGTTTCATCGGGGCTAGTTGGTCCATGGAGGTAACTCCTCAGATTATCCAGTAAGTCGAAATCAGGAGAAACCTATGCAACAATATATTTATGGTTAAGAATCTTAATGCGTAGTTCCAGAAATTATCCATGTGAGATAATTTGTGAGATAGCCAGGGAGTCATGATTTCCGAAATGGGCCGTGAAACTTGCATTATAAGACGTCTTTATGAATGTTCAAGCAACGCTTACTAACTAAATTTTTACAAGTGAAGAAAAAATTCTAACCAAGTCAAGGTCGTGGTCCATTTCAACTTCTCCCTCTTCTCACTCTGATGGTGATCGTTCCCAGCTATTCAGAGAGATATCATCATCTGCCCTCTGTCAAGAAAAAAATGAGTTGTAAGCGCCTGATTTATTAATTTCTGTGGTTAGAATATTGGATGATAAAAAAGAACGATCGATTCAAACTAGACCTAAAGCCAATACTAACTATTTAACATAAAGGGTCCCGTAGACGTATATGCTACAGTCTCAGTCAATTTTGTGTCTCCTTGTCCCCTCAATGTTGGTGGACAAAGTTTGGTGACTGAACCGCGATAAACAACTTTGAGAGGGACAAGGGGAGCACGAGAAGAAAAAACAGCGTTTGGTCTAAGTGTCCAAACTATTTTCGTCTGAGACTTAAGCTATCTACAGAGGAAAAACTCGCAGGAAATTCGAAGCCTGCGAGCAAGCTGACTGTTCACACTGTTTACTGAAGACTTACGCTTCGTTCGCTTTCGATGATATATTCAGTAGCACCAACAGAAGGGATTGGAGGAGAACTCATCTTCGTTGAATTAATCAGGACTTCCAACCAGAAAGAAAAAAAGAAAACTTCGAAAGTTTTACAGTGTAAACTTGTAGACCTTGCAATGAGAAGGAATAGTTAACCGCCGAGTCAGCGGTACTCAGTACATCACAGGGCGTATATATACGCCATGTTCATGTGAAACCGTGCTCAACTTGTCAATCAAAAGTAACACAAAACTCCCCCCGGCCCCCTGCCCCGCCAAAAAAGTAATAATAATACAGTGAATGAAACTGTTTTTACACTTTTTGATACAGTCAAAAGTGCTTTGAGAGATTGTTATTGTGTAATTAGCTGTTTCATCAACACAATTTGAGTAGGATTGCCCGTGTGATGTTCGCCTGTTTCGTTTCCCATCTGGGAAAAATTCAATTGTATGAAATGTGGAATTCTAAAGCTTGACACTGCTACTGCGTACTGCCACGAATGAATAGTGCACAATAGTGTATGCAACAACGCAATAATTCGCCCATACTTTTCCAAGGTATTTTTCATAAACAAAGTATCCTTGTATGTAGATAGAGGCGGGGAAACAAGAAACCATTGTACCCGACTGATACACCTTTGTCAAAGCTAAAAAAGTTATGGCCTAATTGCAGTACTTTTAAAACCCACTTAAAAAGAACAGATTATAATAAAAAAAAGCCGCAATTAACAATCACGAAAATTTAGGGCCAAATGTTTGTCACTGGCACTACTGACATTAGGCAAGCAAATAAGTTACAAACCTAAGCAAATAAATAAATAAAAGTTTTCAGAGTCCGTCGACCTCGGTCGACGTATGCCTTGGGTACACATGATCCTTTATTAAAAAATATGCCTTCTAGCATTACTCCGCTAAACACACTTAAAAGGAACAGATTGGTATTGTTAAAAATTATCTTATCAAAGTGTTCACCTCCTCTGGTGGTGTTTGCTTGTTTCTTCTTACACTAAGGAAAAATTTGTACTCGAACAACTCCCTTTTATAGCTATGTTTTTTCAATACTTTTGGTAATTCGTTAAAATATAAACTCTTCACATAAAGTGATTATACTTGACCCATAAAATAGGTAGTAGAATACTACCTATTCAGGGTATGAAATTTTAAATTCCAAGTGCAACTGTACGCGAACATGATCGAGAGATAATGAAACATTTTCGATGAACCTACAATAGATTGGAGTTAAGATTGGAAATGTGACCTTTAAGCCAGGCATGATAAAGTTTAAAGATTTGACATTGTATGTCAATCCTTTGTAGTTTGAACCAGTCATGTTTTTAACATTCCCCTTCTTTTAAATGTGGTTTTAAAAAACCCGAGAAGTTACTCTTGTCAATTCTTTGACTCCCCAGCAGTCGTTTTCGCGGAAAAAATGCAATATTATTCAAAGAAAAAGCATACATAAAAAAATAGCTGAAAGGAAGACCAAGATCACACAACTATCCAAGTAATCTACAGTCGAAATTCCAATGTGGGTCACTCGATCTTAACCTCTTCATGTACTTGATTAGGTTCGGTACACGAATTGAAGGGCAGCTGGTGTAGTTGGTCAAAGGAGGGGTTTGAAGTACACTGACAGCCTCAAATAGAATTGACATAGAACTGACTCATTTTTATTCATGTTTAATATTACACCAAAAACTGAAACGAGAATTGAAACAAATTTGTAATTTGGTAATAATACATGAAAAAATTTAGAAAACATTAAAAATTTCAATGGAATGAGACGTTTGCTACCTTTTGGTGGAAATGATATTCGTTCCTAACCATCTGTGTATCGTCCACACTTGGCCTGTTGTTGGCCTTTCGTCGGCCCCTCTAACGAATTCTTGCAGAGGGCAGTGTCGGGCTTTGTGCCCACGGCCTCTGCAGTTAAAGCAGCGCACTATAGTAAACAGATAAACAGAAAAAAGAAATAAATAAACGTACATGCCAACATGAAGATATAAATCACAGGAGTAGTGGTTAAAACAAGTTTTTTCTTTGTGTACAGATATTTACGATGTAAACATCATACGTATACTGGGTAAGAGTTTGAGATCTAAATCCTAACATTGGTGCGATTTCTATTAATTTTATTCCAATTTTTAGACCTTTAGTTCATTCTACTGAGGCAGGTCTGGAACACTGAGTGTCGTGCTGTGAAGCTTGCAAAACGCTAATTTCATTTAGAAAACAAAAAATATCATTTTTCAAACAAAATAGTCGAGCTTATTCAAAGGAAAACTATAGGTTAGGATTGGAGTTGTTCCACACTTACGACGTTTAGCGTTGAGGCGATCTCTTAGATCGCCGCCCCTCCCAGGCACTTCTCCACCTCGAGGCTCTTGTCCCATCTCGTCGTCTCTGATTCCATCTGGACAGAAAGGAAAAAAAAAAAAAACCTGCCAAATGCTCTCTTCACAAAAGTTGTGTGACAATGTGGAGTGCTTTCTTTACCAAATAATTCAAAATCAAGTTTACCATCGATTAGAATAGCGATTAGAATCAACGTGATTATGGTAAAACGCTGAATACCTCTGTCATCTTCCAATCTTCTTTCCACGTGTACCCTTTTGGGCACACTTTCGCTCCTCTGCCTCGATCCTGTGGATTACAAGCATACAAAAATGTCATCATTATTTAGGCAAGTGAGGCACGCGGAGATTGGATGTGGAGTGTTTTTTTCACCACATACCTTAAAAACAAGTTTACAATCTGCAATCAAAATAGAAGTGATTATGGCAAAACGCACCATACCTCTATCATCTCCCCCTCTCCTTGCCCTTTCTCGCCACCCAGGACTGGCACATTCACTCCTCCACGTTCTCCTTGCTGTGGATTACGAGCATTCGAATTAATATACCATTAGTCATGTAAACCGCGTGGAGATTGGATTGCCCAGTTTCGAGCTGATTTGTTGTTGCAGGTAACACAAAAAGTAATAGTCTGTCATTCATTTCTCGTCAATTTATATATATATATATATTTATATATATTATAAATCTATATATATTTATTTATATTACCTTGATCCTGCTCGCCACTATCGCGTAAAATATAATACCTTAGTTAAAAACTTAACCGATTTTGGATGATACTCGCTACAGTGCCAATCCCAATATGCAGGAATCGAACCTCAATCTGCCACTTTTAGTCAGTGTATAATCAGCCCCCATTGGTCAGAATTTTGACCACGTCTGTCAGGCCAGCGTTCCCTTGTCACTAGATGGTCACATAAGAGCTCACTATTTCCTAACACAATCAGGTCATTTAGTTCAACTCAAAAATTAGATCGATCTTATCGTAGATATCTTATCTACACGTTGTTTCCGTGGTCAAGACTTATGAATTGTCTTTGTTGGGAGAGACTGTCTAAAAGCTCTACAGAGCTTGCTTGATCTCCTGCGTTGTAGCAATGTAATATGTTATGTGTACAAATGAAAGTATGGTAAAGAGAGGCACTTATTCTTCTTCACAGTGTATACCAAAATATCAAATAGTATAGTTGACTGTAGCGGGAAAATAGATAATGATCCCGCAGAACAATTGCAGAAAAATATATTAAAATGACTACTGGGTATAAATGAATACTGCAATAACAATGTGTGCAGGGCAGCGACGGGAAGGTTACCCATGAAAATTGAGGCCCAGTGAAGGAATTTTAAGTTCTGGCTATCTGTGCGCAAAAAAAGAAAACAAATTATCGCAAATAACATACGATGATGTCAAATAGGTGGAAATAAAGCTTTCTGGAGCAAAAATACTCAAAAGGACATTAGAGTGAGATTGGAAGGAGACCTGTGGATAAAAGCGCATTATATGGAGGCACAACAAGACAAAGATTTAAGGATATAGAAGTTCAACAATAGTCTTGGACAAGTGAATTGAATAACGACATTATAGAAGAGATGCTTACCAGAATAACAAAATGAGAACATACCGAAATTTTAAAACAATAGAAAATCACTATTACCTGCCTATCTACATCTGCCTATCACCAATACCTGCCACAGAATAACTTTAACAATTTTTGAAATAGAGATTATACTAAGCAACCATACACTTGCCATAGAAGCGGGCCTGTAAAAACTTGAAAATGAACATCTTGACAATGAACATGTTATAAGAGTGAACAAAATGCCAACAAATGAAGAATTAATGTTAATAAAGCCCCCTAACGAGAAGCCTGAAACCAAAAAAATGGGAAGTATGCATTTGAATGGCTTTAAACTAACAAACGAGTATCAGGAAATTTGAAGGAATCCGAAGAGAAAAAGTAGTCGTAAGATCAAAATATGTGTCCGTGTGTATGTAATGAGTGCTATTTTGCAATGCCCTCTAATGTATAGTGTAATAAAGAGCTTCCTGAGACAAAGTGGTTGGTACACTAGGTGCGTTAAGCAAACCATTGGATTACATGGCTTGACATGCTGGGGATTACCATCAATACGGGTTCGCTACAGAAAACATAAACAGCTTTGTTATTAACAGCAAGTACCTTAAGGGAGGTATTGGAAAGTTGAGGGAGGAGAATTAATACTACTAACTACTACTACTACTACCACCACCACCACCACCACCACCACTACTACTACTACTACTACTACTACTACTACTACTACTACTACTACTACTACCACAACAACAACAACTACTACTGTTATTACTGCTACTACTACTACTACTGTCAGAAAATTATGAAATATTTTGTTTACCTCAACAACAAAGATAATGACTCTAGTCAAACAGTCTTGTTATGTCAAATAATCTACATTATTTCTATGAATAATTCCCGATATTTTTCCAATTTCATAAAAATGTTTAAACAATATAATCTAACCAGTTTAGATGCTGAATCTCTAGGTAATGATAAAATTCGACGATATGCTACAGAAATGAGAGAGATATATCTATTTTTTGGGGCGGCACAGCCTTGAAATTAAAAAAAAACTAGAATTTATAAAACTTTAAAGATGAATACTATACATCTGATTATCTGATTATGACAAACGACAGAATTTTGTTAAATTTAACATAAGTAATCACAAACTTATGATTAAACATGGTCGATGCCAAATAGATCATTTGCCAAGACAAAATAGCGGATTATTAGGACCAATACACCCAGGGAAATGATATACAGCCCATAGGCCCTCTACAACTCTATTATGGAGGAATAAGCACTTTGAAAAATAATCAGTTGTCTCGTGCTGGTACATCCAAATGCCTTTGGACATTATCAGTAAAAAATTAATTGCATGTCATGATTTTTATATACATGTATGGTTTGTATCCTCATAAATATTAAAGCATCCCTTTACAATGATAGTGGCTTAGTGGCTTACCTATTAACTTTTACTTTAATACAGCGAATGTTATTCCATCAAAACCAGAATTTTCTTTACTTCAGCAGGTCAATCACTTTTGGGGGTGGGCCCTACCAAAGAAATTAAAAAAGTAATAAAAATTAATAAATTCACATAAACACAGCCACAAGTACAATTTAGAAGTGTATAGTTTTTCACCTGGGTTGTCAGAAGGTTTTTTACCTCGCTACGGACTTTGTCGACATTCTCTTTCGCGTCCCTCAATTTTACCTTTTTGGGCAGATGTAATGGCTTTTTCGGGTAATTCGAAAGAGTCTCAAGATATCCAAGGGTTTAAACACGAGCTTAATAGTTTCAATAGTTAGAACATTACAATAATGATTTATCGTAAGTACAAATTCAACTCCATTTACTTGAAAGAAAGATTCTGATTTATCTCGGTAGTAATGTTTAACTAGACGATTGTTTAATTCAGTGAAAACAGAATTTTCTTTTTCCAAACACTAAAAATCTTGTTAAGAAGACTAATTATTCCTTTTGCTTTGGGCTGTCTACAAACAGCTCTACGCCACTGACGGTTAATTTCTGCGCCTGGTTCTTTCCTGGAGTCTTTTCCACTTAGTAATACCAGTCCGTGTTCCACTAATCGTATTCAGTGCCATTAACAGTTAACTTTTTATGTATCATTTAACTACACGTACTAATTGTTTGTCCAAATATCAGTTATGGGGGTACCCACTTCTAAGTCACTTTCCAACGGCGAATTTTACCATAACTTAACAGCTTCAGCTCACGGATATACCCTGATTATTATGCTTTTGCACCATTTGCCCCCCTCTTGCAGCAGCGCTTCACTTTTCCCTCTTTTATTTTCTTTCAATCAGAGTAATAAGAGAGAGAGACTTTTTTGGCAATAATTCAACAGGAAAGAATAACCCTTTTCACGGATACTCCACCGTCAATATGCCTAAACGCCATTATTTCCCTGCCTGAAGCCGGTACCTGCTATATTAGCGCTATTGAGAACAACCACAATATGTTAAGTAAACTCAAATGGAACAACCAAACAAAAACAAATAAATAAAGTACCCGCCTAAGAGCAAGAGCTATTTTGGCTCTTGCTAAAAGTTAACCTGAATTCACCTTGTAATGAAAGATTCTATTAAGGCCGATCCTTGACTGCTAACCCACAACTGTGATCACCTTTTAATTTTGGGTCTACTTTCCAGAATTAAATTTCAGATAGGCAACTATGAGAGTTAAGGAGCTGAAGTTTCTATATGGGCATAAATTTTTGCGAGATTTCCCATTTGTTGCTTTTTTTTTCATGTCCTGAAATTAAACTGAAATCTGCGCAAATAACTATAAATAAGGTATGAAAAGAATTACAAATCTTTTGCATGGATGTGCACCTTGCATATGAAAGAAGACACAGCAAGTCAACATTAGAAGTTTGTTTCCACTGAATGGTTGCTTTTAGCTTTTTAAAATATTGTACGACAGTAGTGTATCCATCTACAACACTGGGTCGAAGTTGAGAAAAAATGAAAAAAAAAATTAAGAGAGAACGATTTAGAAAGATTTTGCGCGATGGAAATTGTACTAAACACCTTAATTTCCAAAATTTTTCCTGTTTGCTTATCTGATATCATTTAACTTTTAATGACATCATAGATGTCCCTGAGCTTGCCACTCAATTAAAGAAAAGTATTCAGTGCTGTTTCCAAAAATATTTCTGCCAGCCAGTGAAGAAGGGAGAATTAGCCAGACTGATTTTATATACAGAAACGCGACATCTTGCAAAGAACAATTCAAATGATCATATGGAATTGAGATTAAGTTGGAGGATACGCGCAAGCTGTTTAGAGTTCCGGATAGAGGATAACTAGCTTCTGTTCATAAGTAATGAAACATTGGGGTAATTTGTTTACCTGGGCAACTCGGGTTAAGATGGTGGAAAACGACCAGACTTTTACTCCAGGTTCTGAAAGCCGTAAAAATTAAGAAATTTTAACCGTTAGCACTGT